TCTCTCTCTCTCTCTCTCTCTCTCTCTCTCTCTCTCTCTCTCCCCCTCTCCTCTCTCTTAAAAAAAAAAAGGTAGAATATATGATCCAAGTGGATAGGACTTTCCTGGAGACTGGGAAATATTGAGTAACATGGTTTCCTGTTAGGAAATCTAGTCTGCTATGTTGTTTTCAGATGATATTTGATCAGGTGTTTGATCCAATCAAATGTTAGCCCCTAGTTTCATGAGGTTAGTAGTGTCTTTCTTTTGAAATCTTGTTCCTACTTTGCTGAATTCCAGAAATTTTATATGGAATTGGAAACTTATAAAGTAATTTATGGGATTGGTGCATATTTACCTTTGGTCTCTTCCTTTCCCTTAAGTTTCTTTGTCCAGGTCAGGAGCAGTTCACAAATTTTTGTTCCACATCCCTGTAAGGGACCGGCGAAATGTCAGAGGAAGAGACCGCCAAGAGACTGACTTCATGCAATAAGCAGAAGGGGATTTATTGAGATTCCAGCATGCTGGGGCTCCATGCCCACTCAAGAGGAGAGAGCAGCCCAGAGCCCAGAGCAGGGGTTGAACAATGCTTAAGTACACTTTTTGGGGAGGGTGCGGGCTTTGCATACATCACAGTCTCCTTTAACAAATCACCTTACACCACGGGAAAATCAAACAATAATTCTTAGACTTGATTAGTGCATTCATTGGCGGGAACAGGGCTGGCTGGAGTGATAGGTCATTCCTAAGGAGGGGGTTACATTTAAATTGATTGGTTTGGGCCCTGTATGCTTACTTGACTAGTTGCACAGGGTCCTAGGCTATAAATCAACTAAATGACCAGTAGGGCATTGTCTTAACTGCCTCAGGAATTTAACCCATGCTTTGCAGTTTAGAAGCAGCTTAGAAACTTTACAATGTCCAGTCTTTTACACTTTAATTTCAATTTCTTTTACTCTTACAATCCCAACAGGCACTTTTCTCCTTTAGAAACTTTTTTTTGGTAGTATCCCAAATTTCTATCTCATTCCCAAGGCCCATCCTCCACTCTCAAGATCTATTCTCAGATTGGATGATTTTCTACAGCCATTATCTAGAAGGGCTCACAAAATCAAGAGAAACAACTCTGTTTACTGACCAATTTATTATAAAATATCTTGTAGAAAATATACTGAATAGCCAGATAAACATGTACACAGGGCGAGGCCCAAAAAAGCCTCAAGCACAGGAATATCTGTTCCAGGTAGAGTTTGAGAGGCACACCACAACACATGGATGCATTGTTGTTCATCAAGTCAGAAGCTCCCTCAACATTTTTTATGGGTATTTCACTATGTCATTGAGATTGATTAAATCATTTACTGCTGGAAATTAATTAACTCAACATTCAGCTCTATTTCCTCCCCTCTTTCAACTTTCTACTCTTAAATTTGTTCCTTTGGCAACCTGACCCCATCCTGAGGTGACCCAAGAGCTTTCTAAAAGTTATCTTATTAACATAAACTCAGATTGCTGAAAGGGGCTGGTTATTAATAACAACAGACTCTCCTTTCAAAGCCAGATTTAAAGATAGGTACTTAGTGTAGTTAGGTAAATTGGTCTAATATCCAGAATGAAGGCCATATTGAGAATGGAGCCCAGGAAAGCAGAGAAGCACTTGGGGAAATTGAAATGTTAATGTTCCCAAGGCCCAAAGCCCATTCTAAAGAAATGTTAATGAAGCAGCTTGCAGCAAACTGGGAGGTGCTAATCAAAAGCTGCCCCAGGCCCTTCCTGCCCAGATTACTCCTCTGGCCCATCTGCCCTGCACTTTCTGGGTCTTCCCACCTACATTCTATCATAGCAAGATAACAGAACAAAAGAAAGAATGTGGGAAAACTGAAAGAAGACCTTAGCTATAAAAGAGGGAAGACCTCCCCTTCCCATGGATTCCACCTCTTGGATCCCCTTCTTCCTCCAGGAGAAGTCTTTTCTGCTGTCCTTAATCAAGCTTCTACTTTCCACTCTAAACTTGCCTTGGCATGTTTCTCTGGTGTTATACTTCAGCATTGGGGAAGTAAGGACTCCTCACCAGTAAACAGTGATAACACTTTCATCTCTATCAGGAAATTCCAAGGATTTTAGGAGCTGTTTTCAGGGATCAGGGAGAGAAACCACTTTTCAGGAACCTAGGATACAGACTGAAAATATAAAGATATTAATATAGACATTTTTTACTATGTCACCAAAAGGTGAGCCTTCTGCACACCACTGGAAGGTGCATCAAAAAGGAAAAACAGCCCAGTATGGTGGCCCATGCCTGTAATCCCAGCAGTTTAGGAGGCTGAGGCAGGAGTATCACAAGTTCAAAGCCAGCCTCACAAATAACCAGGCCCTAAGCAATGTAGGAAATGTAGGAAAAGACATGTCAAAATTTTAAAAGGGTAGGAAGAGGGGAGTTGTGTGCTGGTGTTCTAGCTCACTGGTGGAGCAAGTGTGAGGAACTGGCTTTGATCCTCAGCACCACATTAAAAAATAACTGAATAAAGGTATTTTGTCCATCCACAACTAAAGAAAAATATTTTTTAAAAAATAGGTTGGGGGGCTGGAGATGTGGCTCAAGCGGTAGCGCGCTTGCCTGGCATGCGTGCAGCCCGGGTTCGATCCTCAGCACCGCATACCAACAAAGATGTTGTGTCCGCCGAGAACTAAAAAAATAAATAAATATTTTAAAAAATTCTCTCTCTCTCTCTCTCTCTCTCTCTCTCTCTCTCTCTCTCTCCTCTCTCACTCTCTCTAAAAAAAAAAAAAATAGGTTGGGAAAGTTTCTCAGTAAGCACACCTGGATTCAATCCCTGGTACAAGAAAGAAGGAAAGAAGCAAAGGAGGAAAGAAGCAAAGGAGGAAAGAAAGAAAGAAAGAAAGAAAGAAAGAAAGAAAGAAAGAAAGAAAGAAAGAAAGAAAGAAAGAAAGAAAGAAAGGAGGGAGGGAGGGAGGGAGGGAGGGAGGAAGGAAGGAAGGAGGGAAAAAAGAAAGAAAGGAAGAAAGAAGGAAGGAAGGAAGGAAGGAAGGAAGGAAGGAAGAGAACTACCTTGCCTTGCAGTGGCCCCTCCAGTACATTGTACCGACAACCTCACATTGTGTCAGAATGCAAAGAAGTGTTCACAAGGTCCAGTTCCAATAGCACAAAGAAGACCAACATGGAGTGGATTTGGAACAGAAATGTAATGAAATGGTACTGCACTCTGTCCACACCTTTGACTTTGTACTTTATGTATGCATACATGTTACACCATTTTACAACCATTTGAACTTCCATAAAACAACAAATCTATCATGACAAAGCCCCTGACAAATGAAGAGGTTCTCATCTGTTCCCCCATATAAAGAAAGAAGCACTCCCAGTCACTGTACACTACACTGGTATAGTATTTATTCTTCAAATTCACTCAGTCTCATTGACTATTCTGTTACCTAAAAAATAACAATTTGTATATAAAATTATGAATATGAGAGAGGGAGCAAATGGTCAATACATAAAGATTCACACATATACACCACAAGCAAAGAGAAAATATACAAAGCTATTACAATCCTTGTTTATAGACAGACAATGTAATTATATGTACTTTCTATCTTCCAATTCCCAAACTTTGTTGTCTCTCCCCAAGTCAGAACAACTAGTCTCATCTGTAGCTCACTGGTGGAGCAAACATGAGGAACTGGCTTTGATCCTCAGCACCACATTAAAAAATAACTAAATAAAGGTATTGTGTCCAGAAAGCTATTAATTATGGAAAAATGGGTATATTCCATTCATCCCAGAATAGGAAGCAGATAACATAGAATGTTGTACTCTTCTCTTAAAACTCCATCATTTAATGTACTTTAGAACTGAAATATCCTCCAAAGGCTCACATGTTAAAAGCTTAGTCCCCATTTGGTGGCCTTTTTGGGAGGTGATAGGAACCTCAGTAGGTTGGGACTAGGAAACAGGAAGGAAGTAGATAACTTAGATGTGTCCTTGAAGACTATGTCTTGGCCTCTTATCTATCTATCTATCTATCTATTTATCTATCTATCTATCTCTCCCTCCCTGCCTCCCTCCACCCCCACTTTCCCTCTGTCTTCCTTTCTTGCTTTCTGCCTGCTGTGAGGTGAGCCACTTGCTCCACCACCTGTTTCCTGTCATGACATAACATTCTCCCTCAAAAACAATGGACCCAGGTGACTATGGACTGAAACCTCTAAAATTGTGAGGAAAATAAATTTCTCCTCCTTTAGGTTGATTTTCTCAGTATTTTGTCACAGAGACAAAAAAGTGACTAACATACCTATCAATTTCCCTGGAAATTTTTAGATAATGACTATCATCTGATAGTCTAAATCTACAAAAATAGAACTGGGGATCATTCTCAACCTCAAGGTTCCTCTATACACATGCAAGTGCAGTAACGTGATCTCCCCTCTGTTTTAATTTGTTTTGTTTTATTTTTGGAAACAGGGTACCACTATGTTCCCCAGCTGGTCTCAAACTTTTGGGATAAATTGATCCTCCTGCCTTAGCCTCCCCAGTAGATGGGACTACAGGTATGTGCTGCCACAGCTGCTTGAAATAATTTTTAATAACAAAAAATAGGGCTCCTCAGTTAAACTGCATATTCTCTAAACCAGTTACAAAATAGCCAAATTTTATCTTCTGCATCTGAATATAAGATATGAACTGAACTCTCATAACCATACATGTGAAGTCTGAACAGAGAGCAGAAGGACAAGCCCACTGAACAGTCCAAGTCTCATATCATGGGCTTTTGTGAAAAGGAGTCTATAGCCCCAGAAGAGCCATAATGAGGGATCACAGACAGCAAGGGACCCTATGTGGACAAAACCTGGGAGTGTCAGGGAAGTAACAGAGATTCAGCCTCTGGGGGAGCTCCATTAACACCGCAACCTGAGCTGAACCCCTCCATTGGGGTGCTCAGGGTTTCCTCCAAAGAGGAAAAATTGTTAAGGGGTACAGGGAGCCTCTCAGACCCACTTGCCATGGAGCAGATGGTCATGGACACACGTCCATAAATAATCATGAAGTATGGAAACAGAGCTCCAGAGAAGGAGGCAGGAGGGAAAGAGAAAATGTGGGACCCATCAATCATGTTATAGAAGGAGACATCCCCTTCACTGTAGTCCAGGAAAACCCCCACCCTGTAAAGATCCTGCCTAGGAGATAAACAAGTCTTAGGATCAGTTTGGGCAAAATACCTATAGTTATCTTTCCTCATGACCCAAAACCCCCTTTGTGATGATTCCAGGTAGCTGCCTATTCTCCTCACATCTTTCCTACAGACTCCCAGAGTCCACTTGCTGAGGAGTACATTCTCTATCTCCACTTCCCAGTACCATCTTCCTGATGTGATGCCCTCAAGACCCAACACACTGCATTTTTCACCACAGTACAACAGGCTGGGGTCCTTCCAGGACAGACGCATCTTTTCATGAGAGACAGAAAGCCAGCGATGAGCAGACAATGGATCCAGAGTGACAGGCCCTGTTGAGAGAGTTTTCAATCATACAAGGTCCTCTCCTGCCTCAAGACAAAGCACACAGCCACCCACCACCTCACAGCCACATAGCTGCCTGAGCAGAGGAGGGGATAAGCCTCCTGAGATATGAGTCTTGTAACTCAAGCCCACGTCCTCAATGAGGAGAAGGAGCCAGAGACTGATTTTGAGGGGTAGACTTGTGACAGGTCCCTTAAGAACCAGTACCAGTGTTGTGACCATCACTTCTGCCACAGCAATACCATTGGTGATGCCAGCATCTGAATCACCACAGAGAACTTAGGGAGAAGCCAGAAGCCATGAGGGCAACAGGAGGAACATCTAGAAGCACACAGTCACTCACAGGCTTGGAACCGTTCCTTCCGCCAATCTATGAGAGAACACAGATCTCGTTTCAGGGATTTTCAGAGTCTGTACACATCAAGGTCAGCACCCAGTCTTCTGAAACACAGCAATGTGGGAGGAAGAAGGGAAAAGCTGTGTGAAAACATTCACCTGCTATATTTATTTCTTACATACACACACACACACACACACACACACACACATACACACACACTCACACACACACACACACACACACACACACACACCACTCACACATCCTGCTGCAGCCTTCCCATGAAGATTAAGCCAAAAAGCTTAACACCCCAGGATCAAAATGCTGGATATCAATCTGAAAGGTCACTGTTCATATTTAGCTATCAAATAATGCTTTCTCATGACACAGACACATAACCATCCTGACAACTGGGTTATCTTGATATAAAATTGAGGTTATCAAAATTTCCAAGACCTCCATTTACTTATAAAGAACTGACTGTGCTGGACTTGTAAGGTACCTCTAAGCCATGAGTAGAGAATTACATCCAGCTTAGCTAAACTTGGAGGATGACTATAAATCATGAGTGCAGGGAACTCAGAGAAATCTTGCCCAGTTAGGAGGCAATGGAGAGGGTTTTAGGATGGGAGAGAAGTTCAAAGCAGGAAACAAATAAATCCAGTGAGAGGTCAACACTAGTGACTTTTCTTCAACTTTTTACAGAACAATAGGAGAAAAACATCCTTACACATATGGGAGAACCCCCAAAATATTGGACCTAGTCATTTGCCTACCACAAGAATTACCTGAAGAGTTTAAAACTTCCAGCTATGATAGAACCCATGGTCCTAAACTCCAGAGTGTGTGAATATGTTAAATATATGACTAGGCAACTTTACCAATGTGATTAAGGTTCTTGAGCAGAGGAGGCTATTCTGGATTCTCTGGATCAGTCCAAACTAATCACATGAACCCTTGTAAACAGAGACCTTTCTTGGCTGTGGTCAGAGAAACAGATAGAATCACAGAAACAAGGTCAAAACCATGCTGTGCTGCTGGCTTTGAAGATGGAAGAACAGGCCCCCAAATGAGGGAATACAGATGGCCTCTAGAAACCGCACAAGACAACAGCCTCCAGAAAGGAACACAGCCTTGTTCATACCTTCTTGGATTTCTGACCTACAAATATTTAAAATAACATTGTGTTGGCTGAAGCTACTAATTTTGTACTAACATGGCAGCAAATAGAAAGCTAATATGCCCACTTAGGTGACACACCCAATGTGGAAAAAAGCACCGGCAGAGAAATGTGCTTACAGAAACCATGAACCTCCCTGTCTCCTGCACCCAGAAAGTCTCAGATGCTCTGCTGAATGGTGAAAAGGCAGGTTCCCAGTGAGTCAGTGAACCAGAGAAAGTCTGAAGGTTAAAGGAAAAAACCCAATGGCTACTAGGAATAAGTGACACAGACTTTGGACTTTACCTCAGGGTCAGGGAAGGGTTACCAAGCAATGAGATGAGACCTGCCTTTTCTCAGGAGACACCAAACTAAGGTCTTATGAACCAGTTCAGACTAGCCTCCTGATAGTGAGGACCTGAAATAACTAAGAGAAAACACATTGTCCCTCTTCCCCCACTGCTCCAAAGCCACATAAGTCTCCTCCAACCTCCATACTCCCTTTTCGGAACAGGATAGGAAGGTCATTCACCAAAGCAAAGTCTACATATGTCATACACTCCAAAATACGTACAACTAGAAAGCGTTTGCCTCCAACAGAGCAGAGCCTCAGGAACAAGATTAGAAAAATTAAAATAATAACTAAACAAAATTTTTTCTTTCTTAAAGATTTGTGTTTCAATTTGTGCCCCATATTTCCACTAATACAGGTTCAATCTCATACATTGGTATTTCCATCTTTGTGGAGTTGCTTAATAGAAACTAGATCATATAAAATGTCTGAGCAGACCCAGATGATCCTTGGAGAAAAGTAAATTTTGCTCATTTTTCACCAAGACATTAGATAAAATCCAATTATAGTTTTCTATATAATTCCTGACTGAGAATATCAAAAAAAAGAAGAAGAAAATGGAGGAGAAGGAAGCAGATGGGGGAGCAAAGAAGGAATGAAAGAGAAAAACCTTTTGAGACTTTCCAGTGTGTCAAGTGCCTTGCTATGCACTTTAATGCAGCCTTCATATAATTCCCACTGAAAATTTGAATATATAGCTCATGGTTACAATTTCATGAACAAGATGAGATAGACATTTGTCCACCTCACACTATGGACCTCTCAATATGACAGTGTTGATTCTAGTAGAGTAATGGTGTTTATCCTTACAAAATAAAAGAGTATGCAATTTATACATGAAAACATATAGATATTAATTCAGTAGAAAATGGGGAGATGGTAAAAAAAAAAGACTATTTGATTCTTCTTTTTTAATAAAAATGTCCCCAGGAAAATCATTAAGATTCTAAAAGAATGTTCCTCAAACATCTGAATCCAAAGCATCTTGATGCCATGGCTCACCTTCCTCTGTCACTCACAGTCTATATCCCTGATGTGAAAAAGAAACAGCCAGAGTAGGAAAAGGGCATATTGTACAAATTCAGATGACACAGGTCCTAAACTCACCCACAGAGTTAAAGAATCCTCTGGATAATTTTTCATTGAATTGGAAACTGCCTTAGCATATGCCTTTCCTAACTACTACTGGAAGGTTCAGGTGGTCTCATTATCACAAGCAAACTCAATGAGATGATTACTTAGAAATGGATTAATGGAATTCACACACACACACACACACACACACACACACACACATACAATGTATTCACTCCAGGTTTCTCCTTTTATGATCTTCATACATTTTAAAAACAACAACAACAACAAAGACCAAGCCCAACACACAAAGCAAAATTTTCTTAAAATCAGAGAAAATTGTTGTGATCAATATAAATTGCACTGTGTTCCTGAAACACAAACACAAACACAGACTTTGCATATAATTTCAAGTGGTTCTCAGATCCCCTAAGCATCCTGGACCCCAAATTCTGAACACCAGAAACTCATTTCTCAGCAACCTAGATGCTTAGAAGAAACCAAACTGAGAAAGTGAGTCAGAGTAGGAGGTGGCTGAGAGAAGACCAATACCCAGAGGACCATGAAGAAACAAGAAAACCAAACCTGGACACAAACAATAAAAATCCAGGGTAAAGGCAATAGAGAACCAAGGCCCCACATTAGAAAGATGTAAGTCCTAAGCTGTCAAATACGATTTCTGAAATTTCATGGAGACCAGCAATTCCTATCCCCAGTTCCAACCCTACTCCATCCAGGCTCTGCCCACAACTGAATTCTCCAGTGTCACTGCACCAACAACAAATACCAAATATGATGTTTTCAGAGGGTACATTTAACCCTAACCTGCAGGGGAGGATGGGCCTAGCTAACAGGTTCACTCCTCACACCACAACATGAAAAAACAAAATTAAAATTAAATAAGACATTAGGGAAATTACCAAAAATGAAGAATAATTTAGGGCTGAAGTTGTGGCTCAGAAGTGGAGTGCTCCCCTACCTGCGTGAGGCACTAGGTTCAATTCTCAGCACCACATAAAAATAAAATAAAGGTATTGAATCCACCTACAACTAAAAAATTATTTTTTAATGAAGAATGATTAAAAGACAGGAATATGATATGAATTCTGTGATCCAATCCCAGGGAGAAGTCCCTGTGGTCTTCCAATGCAAGTTACAATTATCTTTTCTCCTTTTAGGAGAATTTTGCTTTCCTATTGTACTTGGCTTTGGTTAGATTGCACATGGGGCAGATTAATGTGCAAGGATTATGGGGAAAAAAACAGGAAAAGTTAAAAAAGTATTTACTGGGAAGGTGGAAAACAAATTAGACAAGAGAGCAGGAAACCCCATCCCATCCTGGGTGGAGGCCACTGACACAGAAGGGTAGAGGAGGAGTCTGGAGGAGGGAAGGCCAAGGAAACATCAGAGTCACTTACCTGCATACAGGTGGGCCTTCCTCCAGGCTGAAAGGGAACACACAGTGGTGAGAGCACAGCTAAAACAAGCCTGCTCAACATGAATGTACCTGTCCTGGTCTTCCCTCCATTCTAAAGATGGGACTACCCACAGGAGGAGAGAGCCAGAAAGGAGATGGCCTCTTGCAGTATGCAGGGACCGCAGGGGAAATCCCCTGGACCACAGATCAAGGTGGCTGCTTTAAAGCCCAACTACTACCACTCTCCCACTGCTTTCTCTCTCTCAGAAAACTGTCTGCCTCAAAACTCATAAAAATCCATATTCTATCTGTCTTTATTCAGTTTTGCCACTAAGGATCAAAATTACACTATGTGTGAAAATATTTGAGAGAATAAATATAATTCATTCCACAATTGTGAGGGGTATTATTATATCCAGGCTTTCTCAAGAAAATACATTTGAGAAAGGGATGGGGATGTACATCATGGTAGAGGGCTTGCCTAGCATGCACAAGGTTCCAGGTTCATGCCTCAGCACCACAAAATGAAAAAATAAAATTAAAAAAGACACTTGGGAAATTGCCAAAAATGAAGAATGATTTAAAGACAGGAATGAGTTCTTCAATAAAACTGCCCGACTATTCACATGTGAAATATTTCCAGAGAATAAGAACCACTTTTTAGGAAGTACTTGGTTCACTCCATCACTTTCCCACCTGTGGTGAGCAGCCCGCTTGGATTAGCACCTTCAGGAGCTGGAGAAAACATAATCCCTCACTGATGATTTGTTGGGAGATGAACAGAAGGCCACACTCCTAAACTTAATGACTCCATTTACTTATATAGATCATTTAATGATCTTAATATCTGCCTTTAATCTTCTAGGTGCAATCCAACTGCTAGATGCATTGAAGACTTAAAAAAAAAACAATATAATGGGCAATCCAGGGTTGAAATAAGATGCAGAATACATGACAGACCACAGGTCACCATCAAACTCAGGTTTCCACATGCTAGATAGGAAATAGTAGACCAGATCAAGGAAAGGACAGGGACCAGTGTACTGGCTTCCATTAGCTTCCCAGGGATCAGGCCACACATGTCTGTGCCTAGACAGAAACAAGGAGAAGGGACACCAGAACACAGGTTGGATAAGGAAACAAAGAATACATGGAGGGAGAGACACTTACCAGACAGATAAGCAGCTTTCCTCTGATCTGAAAAACAACAAGAAATAGGGGAGCTAGAAAATAGAACATCGGCTACCAATGAAACAGAAAATTCAGAAGGGAAAGCAGAACTTACTGAGATCTGCATTGAGTTCATCTGAAAGAAAATGAAAAACAGTGTGAACACCCATCCCCAAAAAAAGGAAAGACTGTGTACCTGAAAAACCTAAGGAAAACATTTCTGTTCACTAGAATTTCTAACTACAAACCCATCCAACCCCACCAGTCTCTAGCTGTCCTCTCTGATCTCTTCAGTCACCTTCTCAGGGCCCAGAACCCTGGGTCTCCCTAGAGAGCTGGACCCCAGACTCTGGCCCCTGTCAGCTGTCTCTCACCACCAGGTCTGCACTTGCCCTGTGGGGTCTTACCAATGGCCTTCAGTGCCTCTTCCTTTGCCTGCTGTTCCTGCTTCTTAAGCCGCTGCAGATCCTCCTTTTCCTGCCTCACTTGCATCCTTCTGGAATGTTCTTTTCTGATAAAATAGCAAGCCCCCAAGAGTAGGAGCCCCAGCATGGTCAGGATCACAGAAAATGCTGGCTTCCAGGGAGAAGCCTGAGGGAAGAAGGGCTCTGTGGCCCAGGCAGACAGCAGGTCAGGGGCACACCCAGGAGAGCCAGCACACTCAGAGAGGCCAGCCCTCCCCACAGCTCTGCTGGGAGTGGGAAGCAGCACTGACCTGGGATGTAAATAGCCATGGCCTTCTCCTGGCCCAGGACAGGGTTGAGGACAGAGCAGGTCACATTCCCCACAGAACTGTCTCTCACCACCAGAGTGGCCTCCACACTAAACAGCTCCTCAGTGTCTTGGGTGTGGGCCTCAGAAAGCGCTGGGAACTTCTTTCCACTGAGGTCTCTCCACTGCACCTGGGGCTTTGGGAACCATCCTGAGGCTTTGCACACCACACGCACTCCATCCTCTTCTGGCCCTTCTATGTGCACTTGGGGGTCAGAGCCCATTCCTGTGGGAAGGAAGCTGTGGAGCAACAGGAGGCCACCTTGGGCCCTGAGACCCCAGAGTTGCCTAGATATTACACAACTTCAGGGGGAAGGTTTTCATGTTCAATTCTGGGAATTCTATGGAAAGCTGGAATAAATGGAAGGAGCACAGGGACCCACACAGGGCAGTAGGCTCTTGTCCCCAGCTGTGATGCCCAAAGAAAAAAACAGGAAGAATTTGGTCCCAGGGCTCCCTCCTTGAATCTCAGTCTTCTCACCTCACACACTCTCCGGGGACATCACCCTCTCTGTGTATATCACGTCCAAAATTGTATTCAGTGACCACCTTGACTCCTGAATTATCTTACCCTCCACCCATGTCCCTATGAGTTATCTTTACCAGGTTTCCTCACACACACTTCAAACTCAAATTTGGAACTGAATTCATTAATTTGCACCACTTGTGATAAAATGATTATTAAAATAATCCAACACTTCACCCTTCTTTATAGTCAGTTCTAGAACTTCCACTTAATTTTTTACTGCCTTTACCTTCTGCCCCTGGACCCAGTAATGGATTCAATTTGGCATTGAAAAATTAGCAAAAATGACTAACGAACCTTGGTTTATTCCCTCTGCCATTTCCACAGGAGGACAATCCTGGGCTACCCAGTGGAGGATGGACTCATATAACATTGCCTGTTCAACCTGCTACTGCTGCCCTAGGTCAGCCACATGAACACCTGAAACATAAGCATACCCAACCAAGGTGCACCTGGTGAACTTTTCTGCTAACTTAAGAACAAATAAAAATTATAAGTAAAAAGCTTAATTCTCCCTGTTGAATAAAATAAGATTCTCTTTCTTTTTCTTATACCATTTGCTTTAGGAAATTGCAATTACAAATAGACACTTCCTTCTCTTTTGAAATTTTTATACATGATTTTGAAAACTAGTTAGGTTTTTTTGCCAGCTTTGTGGCTCAGGAATGACTTTCTCAAGAACGTGGGACCTATTTATTTGAAATGTAAACATCAGGGAAGATAGCAACCCTTTGCCCCCTTTTCTGTGGAAAGATAGGAGCCTAACTTATGAGGGCATCTTGATCCAAGTTGTAAAACTGCTTCTTGTCATAAAGCTGGAGGAGTTCATTTGGCTTCCAGATAAAGCCTAATAGATTACACAGATGATCTCCAAAACTACCAGGTAAATTTAGGATGAGTTATGTGGAACAATAGTGCTTTGAGCCCTCTTAGTTGAGGATTAGTTATTCTTCCTTTTCAAAATAAGTATACAGGAGATTATATATGCTTGGCTCTAAAAACAAAGATGAAATTCCTTTCTAGTTGTGTGATCCATTCACAGATCACCATAATATGTTTCACACTCTGATGCAATGCTTATTCAGTAATAAAAGTGTTTTCTCCTAGTATGGAAGATTCTGTTTTTAATTATATTTCTGAAACATGACCAAAGATGTATGAGTAAACCCAGGTGAGATTAGCCAAGTTCAGCCCCAATTAGTTGAACTCCCTTAGTGCCTGAATTAAATACATTTTTATTGCCAAATGCACCTGAGATTGTGGCTGTTTGTTACACGGCATTATTACAGCAGTAGAACTGACACATAGTTATCAATAGTCCTGCCATGAAACAACAATGGTTCAAATAAAACACTGTAAGTCTCTGAACACTTCTCATCCCCTTCCAAACTTTGTGCCCACAAATCTGTTTAGTTGAATCTGGTTTCTAAACCTGTCTGATTCCTCCTCTCCCACCCCACTGCCATGCCTCAGGTCAGGCACTCATTCTCTCCACATCATAACTGCACTCCATGCCTCCTTCTTGCTCACCTCCCATTCATCCATTCAAACTGCCAACATGAACATTCCCAGCATAGCTCTGTTTAGGATTCCCCCTACTCTGCATCCAAACTCCATAACACAGCACACAAAGCCTTTACTGATCTGGTAACTGCCTTCCTCTCCAAGAGTTCTCCCCAAACTCCACCACCTGAGACCCTCAGAGCCCATACACTCAACCCCAAGAACTATTTGGTCAAATGCAAGTAGCCACAATCACCATGTTGTATGCCCTCTGCCTTTTTACATTCCATCCCATCAACATCCAGGGCACTTGTGCCAGCCCAGTGTCTATTCCTAATGACCTCATCCTGACACCTATGAGTGGTGTTAATACAGGACCACCACTTTATTTCACTATTGCCACTTCTTACCATCCCCCCTCACCCGTCCTACCAACAATGATGGCCTCATTATACCCAGAATAATCAACTATACTCCTACTTCAAAGGTTTCATAACAGGTGCTCCCTCTGCATTAAACTCTAGCCCCCCAGATATCCACCTGGCTAAATACCTACTTCCTTTGAGCCTTGCTCAGACTGTCAAAAAGACTCTGCCCAATTCCCTATGTAACGCTATGGATTGTCCTAACTTCCCAGCCCACATCCTGAGCCCCTTTCTTAATTCTACTTGGTCTTTTGTCTTAAGTACTTATCATCTTATGCCATCTTGTACTGAAT